GGGCCCTCTCTGGGCACCCCCGCAGGTCCTTCCTTTGCGCCTCCTTGCTGTGCTTCCCTGGGATGAAACACAGGGTCACCCCTCTTTCCTGTGTGGTCTTTTGTTGGCCGGACCTGAGCGCGCCCCTCTCTCCTCCCCTCCCCATGCCCCCCCCATTGTTAAAATGGGTGCAGTGCCTTGTTAAGGCATCACGTTGGCATCCTGGACTCTACCCTGTGCCAGGCACCTGGGACAAGTCACTTACCCTCTCTGATCCTCAGTTTCTTTCATCTGCAAGATAATGATACTTTGAAATTACCTTAGAGGGCTCTCAAGAGGCGGACAGCAAGCCTCGAGCTGGGGCTGTGGGCACAGTAGCTGCCGGCAGTGAGGTCGAGTTGGCTGTGGGGCCAGGCGTCTGCCACCCCTCCTGGGCTGATAGCAGGACAGGCCTGCTCTTCAGGGCCCTTCGCCAGGCTTCAGCTTCTCTGTGTGTCCTAGAAATGCCCTATCCCAGGGCTCGATTGCTTCACTAATACTATAATGAATTCCATAAATGTCAGAGCCACTTGTACCACCTGGAAGGACCAAAATATAGTCCAAAGCCAGAGAGAAAATTATTTTGGGGTTGTACATTGTTTGGGACTATCCAGGCTTTGAGTACCCGAAAACTGTGGCTTCAGCACCCTGGGGCGGGGGTTGGGGGGGTGGGAGAGGGGGAGGAGGGACGTCTGGGCCTTGACTTCCCTCATTGCTGGGCATATGCACCTGACTTGGGGTTGGGGGGCGGTGGAGGTGGGCAGGGAGGGGAAGAGGGAGGAGATGCTGGAGAATGGGTCCAGCCCCCTGCTCTGGGCTCTGGGGAAGGACAGGCTGGGGTGTGGGGCTGGGCACCCCGAATAACTCCCCTCTCTCCCCACAGCTGCTGATGGAGACAGTGGGCTCTGACATCCGCAGCTGCCCACTTTGCCAGCTGGGTTTCCCTGTGGGGTACCCAGATGATGCCCTCATCAAACACATTGACTCCCACCTGGAGAACAGCAAGATCTAGGGTGCCTCCCCCACCCACTGGCTGTTTCTTCATCCTCTCCCATCACCCCCACTCACTCACTTTGAATGCTGCATGAATCTCGTGGGGGGCCGTGCCCCTCGCGACCCCCAGATACCTCCACTAGCTCCCAAGTCAGCGTGTGTGCCGTCTTCCCTGGCCCAGGTACCACTCAGCCCTGGCTCTTCCCGGGAGGTCAGCTGAGGCTCCCAGCTCCCTGGCTTCAGCTGGGGAGGTGGGCATCTGGGCTGTGAGCGGCAGGGGCCTCCCCTCTGCCTTTCTGTTCCCACGTGGGGCTGGCCCCAAGTCTAGTGCTTGGACCTGGGGGAGAGGGAGGGTATCAGAGGACTCGGGGAGCTCTCCCACCTCTCCCCAGATGTCCATCTTCCTCAGACTGTGCTCTGTCCGGGGAGCATCTCCCTGTGGGTCCCAGAGCCTGCCCTGCACGCTGATGCCTGTTCTTCCATCCGTGACCAGCTCGGGACTGTGGCTTGGGTCCCCGTTGGGGGAAGGAGGCATCTTGTTTCTTGCCGTTCCCTGCAGGCCAACCCCATTCTCCTCCTCTGCCTATCCCAGGGGGTAGGGTGGGCGGGAGAGGAGAGGGAAGACCTTGGAGGGCTGGGAAGATTCAGCCTAAAGAGGCCGCCCTGAGGGCTGGCGCCTGACCCTCAGGCAGAGGACTCTGTGCCAGCTTCCAGACCTGGGCCCTCCTTCTGGAGCCCTTGGCACGGGCCCAGCCCATTGCGGCAGACGCTCCCCTGTGCCCTGACCCCACACAAGCCCTGATAGTGCAGGTGCCCTGCAGCCTCTCTTAGCTGGGTGGGTGTCGGCTCTGCGTCCCAAGCCAGAACCTGAGACAGACGGGCCCAGGGTGCTGTGGAGATCAACTTCAAAAGAGCTAACCCCTCCCCTCACCCCCAGCAACCCACATTCCCTTTGTGAAATCTACCTCAGAGTCATACCCTCAGAAGGACGGGTAAGCAGGAGGCCAGGGGGTCCCCAGGGCTGAGGTGGGGAGCTTCCTATGGCGAGAGCCTGCCGCCCCCCTATGAGTCCAACCCTCTCCACTGCCAGCCTCTCCCGGGTCTCAGCCCCAGGCGGCTGGCAGAGGATGCTACTGTCAGTGCATGTACCATTCTGATCCAGCTCTTCCAGGCCCCCCGCTTCTCACATCTCTCTCCTCCTCAGTGCAGGGGAGAGAGGGGGTGTGTCAGGCGGGGAAGGGGCCAAGGACTCCAGAGACACATGGCATTGTACCTTGATTGTTCCCCCTGGAAAGGGAAGTGAGGAAGGGGGGAACTCGAGAGGGGAGGGGGAGCCCCTGAGCTCTCTGGACAAGTTGAAAGTCCGAATAAAACGTACCTGTTCCATCTGCGCTCAGTCTGCACCCTCCATGGCTGGGGTGGGAGGGAGAGGGGTGGCTTGGGAGCTGTCAAGAAGGCACGGGCCTTCTTGGGGGGAGGCACTGAGCAAGTAGGGGAGGCCGGGGCACCCGGCTGGAGGGTGATTCTGAGACACAGGTGCGCAGTGGCAGTAGGTAACTGGCGACACGGAGTTGGTGTAGCACTTACGGAGCGGCAGAGCGTGACTTCTGTACAGAAGCAGCCACCCCAGCCCTGAGCAAGTGTCTTGAATTTTCCCTGCCAGGGTCTGGCAGGTAGAGGCGAGAAGCCTGGGGGATTCAAGCATTAGTAGCAGCCACTTGAGGACCATGTGATTTCTGCATGCCAGCAGCCAGGCTGGGTCCGCAAAGAGGAAGAACATCCTCGTCCCATGTCCTCATGGGTCTGAGAGCAGAGGAGGGGTTCGGGTCCAGCCCACAGCCAGGGAGGTCAGAGCGAGGTCACGAACCTGTGACTTCTGCCCCAACCTGTGACTTATCCAGACCTCGGGCGCCTTTCGTTTCAGTGTGACCCGTCTGGACCAGACTTCTCGTAACAGCCCGAGATGTGGGCAGTAGCTCAGGGAAGCCTAAGGCTTAGCTGAGACACCAGGCAGACATCCTGCCCCTTTAGTGCGAGGTCCAGCGGGGAAGACTTCCAGCCTCCTCCGCGCCTCTCTGGCAGTTAGCAGTCACAGCTGGCCTCTAAAAGTCCATCCGACCTCATTCCATGTGCCACCAAGATCTGAGTGCCAGGTAAGATGAGAAGTCACTCCTAAGGGACAAGCCTGCATGGAAAAAGAGGTTCTGGGATCGTGGGCACATGCATGCTCCGGACCCCTGGCGTTCCCCCCCCCCCGTTAATTCTCATGGGAGAAGACAGCGCCTGGGTGACTTGCGTGGGTCTTGGGACAGTGCAGGAACACCATGCAAAGAGAAGGCCTCTTGCTGAGAAAGGGGCAGAGATGAGTGGAAATGAGCTCAGGGCACGATCATTTAGCTGGGTGACCTCTTCTGGTCCTTGGACGTGTCTGAAAGTGGGGGGGATCCCAGGTCTCCCTTAACTTGGGCAGTCCCCTGTCACTGAGGGGGACATGGGACATCGGGTGCAGTCTCCCTGATTTTTGGGAACCCGGAAAAGGGCCCAGACTAGGGCAGAAAGTTGCTGGGGGCTGAGAGGGAATGGGGTGGGAGAAGCTGTGTGCCCTTACCCTTTCATATGATGTTCCCCAGTACCTCGAAAGCAGAGGACATTTGGGTGAAGGTGCTGGAGGTGAGACTGGGGTGCCCTGTCAACCTCTTCTCCCATAGACTGGGGCCAGATATCAGGACAGAGGCTACCTTGTTACTCTGTGGGACTAATGCAGATCCAGAGGGCCGAGAGTGGAGGGAGAAGTATTCTAGATCTCTCCTGAGGGGTTCTCGGAAGGGCTCTAGCCCCCTGGAAGGTGAACGGGCGTGACGTCACGGGATCAAAGTGGAGGGGAGACCCTGCTGGGGCCTCCCCGGTGGGGCTCGGTGGCCAGCAGGCTCGCAGGGCTGCACGTGCAGGGGCCGAGCTGCCGTGGGCCTCCCCCCGGGTGCCCACTGAGCCCACCCAGCCTCGCCAGCCCTCTCTGCTCCCATCTTTCCTT